ATGATAGGCCGTAGTTATCTTTATGGTTTGTTACAGTTACAATATTGTAAATAAAGGATATCTTACAAAGCATTAAACGAAGCACAACATACAAGGAACGAATGAAACCGGTTTCCAATTAAGAGCAATAAAAGGGAGATAGTGTTGTTAATAACAAGACAAATATTTTTTACGTCTCTCTAGTAATGGAATTTATAAATATAAATTTTTAATAATTTAATAATGTCTAATAAGATTTAAAAAATCCAGGGAAAACATAAAAAATTCTTACGAATTATTTGTCTTTCATCTCTACTAAATAACTTTCACTCTCTCTCTCCATATCCATTGTTATCATTTATGTATTGTCAACAACAACAAAAAACAACAACACCAATATATCAATATATATATCCTGTTATCATGTGTTGCGCTGTGTTTGTATAACATCAACAGGACTCCATAGCAGACTCGTACAAGTAGTTTCCAATTATATATTTAAAGGCTTTTGTTTATTTATATAATAACAAGGGGTGTATCTGTGGAATTCACCACACTTATTGGCTCTCGCCATCTAACTCTCATTCTCTTGTTCTCAGTTACAAGCTAAAACTGAGTGCATGTGTCTCTTCTGGGGTAGTTTATAAACAAACACCTGTAGTCAATTCCAAAAAGCTTTTGCGGCTTTTACTTTTACAAAAAAGGATTGCCAGGTTTTGTGTTAATGTTGGTTAAGTTTAAACGTTATCTATTTACGATTGTGAATTTTAAAAATTATAGTCTGTTAAAGAAAAAAGTAGGTTTCAAGATTTATTTATAAGGTAACCCTGTATGGCCAGTTGAAGTCTTTTTTGTATGCAATGTCTATAAGAAATATTTATGATAATATTTATTCTATTAAAAATATTTATGTACAATATTTTACTAATGGTGCAATTTACAGGGTAATTGCTAAACCCAACTGATGCGATTTCAACGCAATGCTTGTATCAAATTATGCAGCAGGAAAATTTAGTACGTATTAACTTTGAAATTATTCTTTACTTCAGATTAAATTTTTAAAATGAATCGGAATGGATCAAATATATTGCAAAATCTGGTATGAAAAGTAGATAAAAACGTCGCTAAATTCGACCTGACCAAAAATTTTCCCCTCCACTGTGTTGAGCTAGGATCTTAAACTTATAGAGATAATTTCAATGATATTTTCCACCATTCAAACTACAACCACTTTGGTGAAGGATATGTCAAAAGATGGTCACATATTGAAACCCACAATGTCAAATTGCATTTACTTTGGTGGAAATGTGAAAACTTTAAATAAAAACCTTAATAATACTGAAAAGGGTGCAGAGTCATTATATGGAAATTATTCTGCAATTCTAATGCCAACTACGTCCACTCCAATGGGAAAATGTGTTTAAAACCTTAAAAATGCCGAACATAGCGCGGTGACGCTATATGGGGAAATATGCCAAGAAAGAAGAAAAAAATGAGAAGCATGAGAACCCAAATTATCAAATCAGAGCCAAATCGGTTGAAAGCGTTCTCAAATTTATACGGAAGCTAACCCGAAACATGAGCCAACATTGATCATTTGTATAATTAATTGGTATTTCTCTTTGTAATACATCAAAATAATCATTTGCGATCCTTCGTCTGTATGTATGTCCGTCCTCACTCTAGTCTCTAAACTAATTGGGATAGATCGGCAAAATTTTGTCTTTTGTCTCCATTCAAGTCAAGTTCGAAGGTGGGCTATATCGGTCCACATTTAGACATAGCTCCCATATAAGGGTACTCCTAATTTTCGGTATTATGGTGGTTTTGAGCGCATTTTCAATAGAATTCGCTGAAATTTGATGCATTGGTAGAGGAAAATGATAAGTATAGATCCACTTTTTCTCGTAGCCTCACATAACGGAACCCACCCATTTTCAGTATTTTGGAAATGGAAATGGTTTGCCAAATTTCGTGTATATGGAACAGATTAAATAAAATATATATGCAAAATTTCAATTTTCTATCTTCAATATTGAGAACTCTATCGTAATTTCAACAGAAGAGAGCTAAATTAGAATTTAACCGGCAGGCCCGTCATTAAACGGTCTGTAGTAAATACGTAGCTATGGGGAATTATTTATTAACATGTGAAAAAGCGTTAAGTTCGGAACATTCCAAAAAATTGACAAATACTGACATTTCTTCCAAGCGATTGTTATAAACACAAAATGCATACTTCATCAGTTTTTTAATGGAAATTTTTCATAAAATCTTAAAAACCAAAACGTGGACCGATATGGAATAGGGATGCGTAGTCGAGCGCAAAAGTCGACTTTTAGACTTTCGATTTTTGCCTCTGACCAAAAAGTCGATTTTTAGACTTTTTGATTTTTGCCTTTAACTAAAAAGTCGACTTTACGATCTTTCGATTTTGTCAAAACTGTTCAAAATCGATTTCCGACTTTTACTGACTTCTGCAAGATCGACTAAAAATTTGATTTTTATATGAATTATTGTGAACAGATAAAATAAAGTTCCGGATAGTGCAATTTTTGGGCAATTTGAGTTTTGTGATAAAAAAAAAACACAGTATTTATTAAGAAAATCGAAAGTCGACTTTACGATTTTCTCATAGATAAAAAGTCGATTTCGACTTTTAGACTTTTCAATACATAAAGTCGATTAATCGATTAGTCGAAAGCGATTTACTTATCGCTAATATGGAAAACGCATGGAAGGGTGGTACATGTGTATAGAATACTCAAAAAAAATTCTGAAATTTAGAGGGCAAAGTATTCACCAACAGACACAGGATTTTATTTCGGATGGAGGCTGATTGTTCAATTTTCATATTGAACATTTTTAACAATTTTAATATATACAAGTGAAAACCAGTAAGGAAAGTAGTAAAGTCGGACTGAGCCGCTATATGATACCCTTCACCACTTTGAGTATATTCAACATATGCGATATATGATCTTTATCTAAATGTGAACCGAATTAAATCAATCTATACACATATTGATAGATATGAAGACGTTTGTTTGCAATAGGACAAAATTATGTAAATCGATTTAAAACAAATCTCAATCGGACACCCATTAATAATTTGGAGACCAATCAGGATGTCTGCATTTCAACAAAAAGCAATTAAAATTTCGTGCCAATCTAATAAACATTAGGATTTTGGTGCACCATTTACTTGAAATCGGGCGAAAGTATATATGGAAGCTATATCTAAGTCTGCACCGATTTCAACGATTAGGGTTAAACTAACGGCCATGATTTTTTGTCCATGATGTGTAATTTTTTTAAAGTCGGACGAAAAAATATATGGGAGCTATATCCAAATCGGAACCGATTTCAGCGAAACTTGCCAAACGTTAAGCTATACTAACTTCAGTATGCTGTTCAAAATGTTGCTCAATAATGCTGTTCAATAATACCCTGTACCACAGTGTGGTGAAGGGTATAGAAAGCGTTAAGTTCGGCCGGGCCGAACTTTGGATATGCTTTACCACAGTTATTTTTACTTGAAATGAAATATAGGAAATATATACCAGAAAGTAAACCTAAACCGACAATTCTATCAATCGATTGATGTAAATCATACTGTACCCCAGATATAAATTTAAGCAATATGTAAAGAGGATTTTTCCTAAGATCTTAAAACTTCAAAACGAGGACTGATATAGAAAACGCATGGTAGAATTTGGATTATGAACGCCTCAAAGTTCGTATCCGAGCTGGACTGCTATGATATATATGGGACAATTGCATTGGATGACTCTTAAAACGTAAAGTTTATTTGTCATAAACGACAATGGGGGTGATGCCAATGTTATTTGTAACATAGTAAATGTAGTAGGATACTAGCACCTGCATGCCGCACTAATTACATTAATATTTTCATTTTTGAAATTTTCAATATATGTCCATGTTTTGATATACACCGTTACAAAGAAAATATGGGATTAGCGCTTTTTATTAGGAAACACGATACCGACCACTTCACAAAGTCCTTTGGCTTTCCATTGATGGTAAATTAATTTTTATCCCGAAATTTTCAAAGTTTTGATTTCGAAACATACCAGTTTTTGAAAATGATAATTCCGCTACTTCTAAATTTAAGACATGACAATTATTTGCATTGTATTTAAAATCTCATAACCTCAATAATGAATTGACTTAAATTTCCACCTTTTTTCTATAGTTATATTATGAGAGATCTCGCTTCATTTAATTCGATCTCTCTAGGGGCTTAATCAATAAACAATACGCAAATATTGATTTAACTTGTGAGAGTTTACTATCTCAGGAATGTTAATTGCATTTGACATTTGTATATTTTATATTAATTAATAAATTAGTTTTAGAAGTAGTTAACTACAAAGAAACTAAAAGTCTGTCCGGGTCGAAATTTCCATACCCTACACCATTTTTATTCTAACAGTTATTTTCAATAAAATTTTTCAACTTTACGCAGAGCTATACCGCCCTACAGTGAATCATTTTGAGATCTACATATAGAGAATATCACAGAAAAGTGGACTAGGAAAGCGGACAGGAAACCACAAATTCTGCTTTGCAACCAAATTTTTTTTATAAAATCTCAAAATTCCGATGTTTGGGGGTATTGATATGTGGAATGTAATGTATTTTTTGTACCAACTTTGAACATAACGTTCATTACTTATTGTAGATTTTGTGTATGTGTAGGGTCACAACAAATGCTATTTTAATAAACTAATTGATCTGGGACAAACAAAACGCATACGAAACAATATGAACAAGAGCGCTTCCATGAGATTCTTATCGAGTGATATGGACAATGCGATTGTTAGCCATAAAAAAAAGGCATTCGGCCATAATGGCGACCATTTAAGTACGAACAACCCTTTTTTTGAGTTAAACACTCAAAGCGTATCGGTGGCGGAAGTATTGTGGCACAGAAATACGACCTAAATTTATTTTTGATTAAAAAAAGAGAAGAAAGTTTAAACTAACTAATAATAACAATGAATGTGTTTATTTTAACATTTTCACTGGTAAATAAATGAAATTAAGATGAATTATGAAGACTTGCATAATAAAATTTAAAAAAAAATGCGCGAAAAAATGAGTAAAACCATTAATAGTTCAGCATTTTTTTGTATGGACCTTGACATGGATATCATATTAATTCAGACCGATTCCTCCAATAAATAGTAAATAAATAAAAGTGATCTATTAATCATATTGTAATGCAGAAAAAATATGTATGGGAGCATGCTACACTTATTTCGGATTTGCAATGGGTACTTTATATATTTCTGACCAAGATAGCGCAAAATGTTAATTTACGACATGTGAGATTTAAAAAGTTTGACTTGAATAATCAATTTGTGAAAAAATGGAATTTACTTGTGAACATTTTCGAGCGCTAGTTTTCTTTCGATGTGGATTTGGCCGGTTTGTTCTCGTTGTATCTCAAATAATTTGACAATAACCAAAAAATCGCGTTGATTGTTGTAACGAATTTTTGAAAACTAGTTCTTCAACTTTTCATAACCTCCAATATTTGGGGGCTACGACATGGTAAACTGCTGCCAGGGTAAAACGAAAAAAACTACCATACTACAGACACGCAGTCTGGACAGTGTGGGCTGGAATAGGACAAAATGAAGAGTAACATTTATATGAGAAAATCGTTGAAACATGTAATTATATTGAAAATGTTCAAAGAGGAAATTATGTTTATCCTAAAAAGTTTGGCAGAGATGCATACATACCTTGCGGCCTTACTCCACGGTGCGATAAACATCAGTAGTACAATGCGTCAACCAACGCCCCAACACCAAAATACAGGCTCCTTACTTCACCTACTGACAAGCTAGATCCACAGACCTAGGTCCTGAGACCCCTTGTACCGAAACCTTCGGCCAGGTTCATAGCATTAGAGCACCAAACAGTTGGAAACTGGTCCCCTATAGACCATAGACGCTTCTTAGCCAAAGCTACTATCATTGGAACTCATATTTGCAGTCTCTCTACAATGGAATAATCGGTGAAAGTAGATAATAAACATAATTAACCACCAACATCTTACGAAATCGGTAGCCACCATACATCTCAACAATCCCAACAATTGCTTCACAAGTCTGTTATTTCGATAATGGTTCCCCACAGACTAACCTCTGCACGCTTCCATAAATATTGGTAGGCGGATATATTGCCCTATGAGGACCCAAAATATCAAATTACAGCTAATTCGTTTTAATTGCGTACCAAAAAACTCCAAAATATTGCATCTTTGGGTGTACCGTTATACGGGTACTATCTTAAAAAGTAGACCAATGTTGATATACTTTGGTAGTGCGATTTGTGAATATCAAATTACAGCTAATCAGCGATCAGCGCTATATTTCCGCCCTCTAGTGTGGTAATGGGTTACTAAATAATATCTGAGTACATAAGCACCGGTAAATATTTAAGTGTAACTCCCACATCCGAGAACATACGACAATATAATTGGTATCAATTTAATGGTCAGCCCCTCCTCTTGGATATACTATCAACTTCTCGGGTCTATGTTCTTTAGGAGTAAATATATACGCCATAGAATCCAAATTTTTTAATTTTTCACACAAAAGCCAAGGTCCATTTGATTCGCTAAATATTGACCGATCTTTATCAAGACAGGCATGTTTATTCTTTGGCCCGATCCCCTTCTCCATGTAAAATTTCACGATGTTCGGGCCATAATTGCGGACTCTGGAGCGACCAGAAAAGCCGGCAAAAAATTAGTATTTGGTCCATTTCACCCCTAAATATTAACCGATCATTACCAGAAACAATAGGGGTCGTCATTGGACAGAACCCATCCTACATGCAAAATTTCGTGAAGATTGGTCCATAACTGTGGCCTGTATCTTGTTTACAAATTATAGTGGACAGACGGGCGGACGGACGGACACACATGTCTAGATCGACTCATCTAGTCGAGATATGACGATCGGAATACTTAAAAGTGGGTCTGGGACCAATATTTCGCGGCTTTACAAACTCTTGGGGCTTCACAAAGCTATAATACCCTGACAACATAGTTGCGTAGGTTATAAATATCAAACTTGCAAAAATCCCTAAAATTCCGAATATTTTGGGGTAATGGAAATGCCACCAGTGTACGGTGGCCAAAAATAATGCAACTGAAATTGCAACTGAATAAATTACCTGTAAAAGTTTTAAAAATAAAATTATGGTGAAAAATGGACCAATTTTTTGTTTGGTCAAAAATATAGCAACTTTTTGATTTTTTCTTAAAAATAAGCAACTTTTGCTAGTAATACGTATACTGTCGATACGAATTATTTTTGATTATGGCAGCACATATACGAGACATTGAAGCAATAAAAGGCTCAGTTAAAACCATCTTTTTGTACCCTTCGCAACACTCCTTGTGCATATGTTTGAACAGGCAAAAGGAAACTATATAGACACATGGTTCCTCTTGAGAATATGCATAGAATCACTTTTTAAGTCGATTTATCCATGTCCGTCCGTCCGTCTATCCGTCCATGTTAAATTGTAAACGAAGGACAGGTCGCATTTATGATTCGAATTGGATGAAATTTGGAATAGGTCACTTATTTGGTCCAAGGACGAACCCTATTGTGAAAAATAGGTTCCGATTTAGATATAGCTCCCATATATAGTTATAATTATAGTTAAATGGTGCACCAAAGTCCCTAAATATCTTTAGATTTGCATGAAATTTGGCACAGCGTACAGAATTAAGTTTAGAGTTATGTGTGCTATGTTTCGTGAAAATCGGTTTAGATTTAGATATAGCTCCCAAACATATTTCCTTCCGATTTTATGTAAATGGGGTACCAAAGTCCCTTTTTTCTTTCGATTTGCACGAAATTTGGCACAGCGTACAGAATTAAGTCTAAAGTAATGTGTGCTAAGTTAGCTAATAAAGCTCCCATATATAGTTTCGTCCGATTTTTTGTAAATGGTGCACCAAAGTCTCTATATATTTTTCGATTTGCACAAACTTTAGCATAGCGTACTGAATTAAGTGCAAAATTGTGTGTGTTAAGTTTCTTGAAAATCGGTTCAGATTTAGATATAGCTCCCATATGTATTTTCCTCCGATTCTGTTTCTTGACATTGAACTTTACCAGTTTAGGCCAAAACGTACAGACCTGACTTGGCACCCAATGATTACATTTTATTAATGAGTACTGTTCTACCCGAGTGGGAAAAGTGATGCATAGTAAATTAAGACTTAATTCCGAAATAAAATTGAAGAAAATATATATTACAGCTACAAATTTAAAAATTCAGAGAAATATTTTAAGATCTTTCAACATTTTCTAACATTTACCTTTTCTTTTTTTTCCAGCTCTATGGCATTATGCCATTCGATCGCCTGAATCCACGTTCAAATATATTCGATTATATACAAATGTATATAATACCGATTTTCTATTTAATCTGCTATGGATTGACAAATTTTGGCTCATTTGGTATTTCACAAAATCCCAGCTGTGATAGTGTGTGCCGGCTGGGAAATGCGTTGTTAATGCATTTGGGTTGTTTCTTATATATTTCGATGCATGCATTGAATTTGTGGCGCCGCAAAAAGTTCTTTATTGTTTTTGAACATACTTTACATGATATCGATGAGAATTTACGAAGATGTGAAGTTGTCAGTGGTTGTGAAAGTGAGATCAAACCAAAGAAGAAGAAACCAAAATATTTATTCTATGGAACATGGATTGTGGTCATATTGGCATTTACGGCATCGTTTTGCTACGATGTTCGAGAGTTGGTGTAGTAAGTTGAATAAAAGCGATAGTCGAAAAAAATCACGTATATATATATTTTTATCCACGAAATTTACGCTTTTAAAAATTTATTTCACGCTTATAAAAAATATTAAAAAAAATCTTACAAAAAAATCCACGCTTATAAAAATGTATTTCACCCTTATAAAGAATATTTAAAAAAATCCACGCTTATAAAAATGTATTTCACCCTTATCAAAAATATTTAAAAAAAACCACGCCTATTTGTAACCTTTAAAAAATATTTTAAAAAATCCACGCCTCATACAGGTCCTTAAAAAAATATATATTTAAAAAAATCCACGCTTATAAAAATGTATTTCACTCTTATAAAAAAATTTTCAAAAATTCACGCTTATAAAAATGTATTTCACGCTTATAAAAAAATTTTAAAAAATTCACGCTTATAAAAAATATTTAAAAAATTAACGCTTATAAAAAATATTTAAAAAATTAACGCTTATAAAAAATATTTAAAAAATTAACGCTTATAAAAAATATTTAAAAAATCCAAGCTCATAAAAAATTTTTAATAAATCCACGCTTATAAAAAATATTTTAAAAATCCACGCTTATAAAAAATATTTAATAAATCCACGCTTATAAAAAATATTTAAAAAATCCACGCTTATAAAAAATATTTAATAAATCCACGCTTATAAAAAATATTTAAAAAATCCACGCTTATAAAAAATTTTTAATAAATCCACGCTTTTAAAAAATATTTTAAAAATCCACGCTTATAAAAAATATTTAAAAAATCCACGCTTATAAAAAATATATAAAAAAATTCACGCTTATAAAAAAATATTTTAAAAAATCCACGCTTATAAAAAATATTTTAAATATTCCACGCTTATAAAAACTATTTTAAAAAATCCAGGTTTATAAAAAATTAAAAAAAATCAACGCTTATAAAAAATATTTTTAAAAAATCTAAGGCTATTAAAATGATTAAAAACAATTCCGTTCCAGTTACTATCACGAATATTTCTTCATAACGTTGATGGTATCAAATTTCCCCTACTCAGCGGCAAGTGTTATGTTGGGCCAATTTATATATTTTGTATCGGAAATATCACAACGTTTTGAAAAACTCAACGAATTATTTGAAAAAATCAGCACGGAGAGTGATCGTAAACATATTCCCTTGATGATATTCGATATAGAGACGGATGTTAAAAAGGATCTGCCACCAAATCAACAAATTCGCCACAGACATTTTGCAGCTACTCGAGAAGAGAGTGATGAACTCAATGATGATTTGGATCAATTTTATGATACTGAAACGATACCCGATGAGGGGTAAGAACAAGACACAACACGTTTTTTTTTTAATTAATACATATTTCTGACTTTTCCAGCCCCTCTTCTGAGAGTAATCTCCCCGATTTGTTTAAATTGCATGATAAAATCCTATCGTTGAGTGTCATCACCAATGCCGAATATGGTCCCCAATCCGTTCCCTATATGGCAGTATGTTTTGTCATCACGATTTTTGGCATCTTCCTGCTGACCAAAGTCTTTTTTGTGGTGGGTGGTAAAAGTCGTTTATTGGATTATGTCATCATTCTGTTCATCGTCTGGAGCCTTACTACCATGGTCGTGGCCTATTTGGTGCTGCGTTTGTGTTGCAATGCCAACGGTTTTTCCAAGCAATCGGCCATGATTGTGCATGAAATCATGCAAAAGAAACCTGCATTTATGTTGGGCAATGACCTGTATTACAACAAAATGAAATCCTTTACGCTGCAATTCCTTCACTGGGAGGGTTATTTTCAATTTAATGGTATTGGCTTGTTCACCTTGGATTACACATTTATATTTTCGGTATGTATATGAGTGTAAAATAGGGAGAGAGGGAGAGGAAACTAGCAATAAATTCTTGTTAAATTAATTCTATTTTTTACAGACTGTTAGTGCCGCTACATCTTATTTGATTGTGTTGTTGCAGTTCGATATGAGCTCTATATTGAAGTCAGAGGGTCTGCTATAATATTGTTATTGAATTACTTTGTTTTAAATAAAATTCGAAATTTCTGTTTCATTCTTCTTTCATTTGGCTGTAACAAAAAATAACTTTACGTTTTTTTTTTTATTTATACAAAATATTTACACCATTAGCTTAAAGCATTATTTTTAGATGTGGTTATATAAAAACCTTATTATAAAACCCGTATTATATATATACGCTATTGAATATATTGCATTAAATACTTATTAAGGCTTAATGTAGTCAAAAACGCAATAAATACCATTCCCGATTGCAGTACGGATAAAAGAATATTTGAAAAATCCGAACTGTTAGCACTTTATAAATATTATACTTCAGATTGAAGAAATAAAAAATTACAATTAGACTTATTTATATATACATATATATATATTAGCAAAGTACCCGCTACTTCGTTTGCGGAAAGGGAATAAAAAAATATTTCATATGGAAATCGTGAATGCTGTATAATTAGTTGTACTATAGTTCTGAATTCCACCTCTGTTCCTACATTTAATATCAAGTTTATTACCATTAAGTACTCTTCATACACATAACCACTATTTTCCGAAATCCACACTTTAGCAAAAACGTACAGGTTCCACATGTAATTCCATATAGAACTTTTCGAACACATAATTATACATTTTCAAGACTACCTCTATACCGCCACCTCCACTAAATTTAGTACCAAAAACCCTTTGGTCCTTCTTTCTAACTCTCTGTCAATGACCAACATTCTAAATTTTAGGTTTCCAGCTCTCTCCGTTACCCAAATTCAAATTATTCCAAATTTAGTGAACTTTCTTCCACCATAGTCCAAATTGTTCCAAATTTAGTGATTTTCGTACTCATAAGTACAAATTTCCAAATGTACCTCAGTCCTTCTTTCAAATAGTCCAAATTTAAGAATTTCAGCTCTGTGTGAAACCATTCCGCACTTTTCGTACCCATATACCAAACCAATCTCAATATTCCAAACCTGCTTTCAATCGTAAGTCCAAATTTAAGAGTTTCAGCTCTATCTGTTCACTAAACTGTACCATATTTGGTACCATTCTGTACTTTTCCTACAATCCCAGAGTAACCTAAGTTGCAACTTTCAGGATTCGAGTTCTACCCGTTCACCAAAGTCCAAATTGTAGCAAATTTTTTGGTTGTCGTACCCAAAGTACAAATTTCCTAAAATACCCCAGTCATAATCTCCAATAACAACCTTAGGTCCACATTTAAAGATTCTAGCTCTATTCGTTCACCAACATCCAAATTGTACCATTTATTACTTTTCGTAGACGTAAGTATGAGTTTCTAAAACTGCCTCAATTTCCCACTGAAACAGTAATTTTATTCATTAAGTTCAGGATAACAGCACTATCTCTTCACATAGATCCAAATTGTACCATATTTAGTACTTTTCGTACTCATGAGTTCGAATTTCCAACACTGTCTCATCCTTTCACTCAAATCTAAATTGTATTAACTTAGCACCATTTAGTACAGATATTTACGTTTTTTAAAACTACCTCATCCTACACTCCAACCTTATTTTTAAGTCCAAATATTAGGATTCCCGCTCACACAAAACGAATTGTACCATATTTAGTACTAATTAGGTCTTCTCGTATCCATAAGTACGAAATTCCAATACTTCTTTAATCTTGTAATTTTAATTCCAAATTTACGTTTACTATCTCTATCCGTTAACTCGAATCAAAATTGTACCAAATTTGTTTACCATTTACCATAATGACGAATTTTAAAAAATTACCGACATATCTCAATTCTGCACTCAAACTGTAATATTAATTCAAAATTTCAGAATACAGCCCTATTCGTTCACATATTTGTAAGTTTTTCGGTACCATTTAGTACTTTTTGTTTCTATAATTAAACATTTCCTAAACTATGTCAATCCTACACTCCAACAGTCATTTTAATTTAAAAATGTAATCAAGTTGTACCAAATATAGTACTATTTAGTAGTAGGTAGGTGATATGCTTCCATATCTCAATTCTATATTCAAACATCAACCATTAGTCTAAATTATTGGTTTCCAGCTCTCTCCGTTCACCCAAATCCATCTAGTGCCGTTTAGTACTTTTCGTACACATAAATACGAGTTTCCAAAGATGTCTCTATAGCTCAATCTTCAACAGAAATCTTAATTCCAAATTTAAGCTCTATCCGTTCACATGTAATCAAGTTGTACCAAATATAGTACTATTTAGTAGTAGGTAGGTGATATGCTTCCATATCTCAATTCTATATTCAAACATCAACCATTAGTCCAAATTATTGGTTTCCAGCTCTCTCCGTTCACCCAAATCCATCTAGTGCCGTTTAGTACTTTTCGTACACATAAATACGAGTTTCCAAAGATGTCTCTATAGCTCAATCTTCAACAGAAATCTTAATTCCAAATTTAAGGGTTTCAGTTCCATCCTTTCAAGCAACATCCAAATTGTACTAAATTTAGTACCATATATACCTTTCGTACCAAAAAGTACGAATTTCATAATCTACCTCAGTCCTACACTAATTAATTCCCAATTTGAAGACTTCAGCTCTATCTGTTCACCTAAATCCAACTTCCACCAAATTTAGTACCAATTAAGTACTTTTCATACAAATAAGTACAATTTTTTAAAGCTAATTCCGATTATCAAGATTTCATCTCTACACACTCAACTGAAGGTAAATAGTACGGAATTTAGTACCATTTTACACCTTTTATACACATAAGTACCATTTCCGTACATCAACACCACTTCCCAACATGTTTTCCATTTAAAATGTCAAGATTACAGCTATATATGTTCAATATATATACAATAGGAAATAAATTCAGGAAAGTTTAGTACCTCTAGTACACTTATAGGTCGAATTTCCAGAAACCCTTTTGCACATCTTTCTAACTTTCTATCAGTGACCAACATTCCAAATTTCAGAATTCTAGCTCTTCCCGTTCGCTAATAAAAAGGGTACCATATTTGGTACATTTTAGTACTTTTCGTACCCTTCTACTTCCAACAAAACTTCCTGCATACCCCGATCCTACACCCCCATAATGATTCCAAATTCAAATTTAGTACACAGTAGTACGAATCTCAAATACTTCTTACTAAACCCACACCCCCACAGTTATCCTAAATCCAAGTTTCAGAATTCCAACTCTATCGGTTCATCCACAATTCAATTTGTACCAAATTTAGTACACTGTAGTACGAATTTCCAAAACTTCCTACTTAACCCAAACCTACACTCCACAGTGATCCTTATTCCAAGTTTCAGAATTCCAACGCTATCGGTTCACTCACAATCCAAATTGTACCAAATTTAGTACACAGTAGTATGAATTTCCAAAACCTCCAACTTACCCTAACCCTACAACCCCACAGTGACCCTAAATCAAAGTTTCAGTATTACAACTCTATCGGTTCACTCACAATTCAAATTGTACCAAATTTAGTACACAGTTGTACAAATTTCCAAAACCTCCAACTTACCCTAACCCTACAACCCCACAGTGACCCTAAATCAAAGTTTCAGTATTACAACTCTATCGGTTCACTCACAATTCAAATTGTACCAAATTTAGTACACAGTTGTACAAATTTCCAAAACCTCCAACTTACCCCAATCCTACACCCTCACAGTGATCCTAAATCCAAGTTTCAGGATTCCAACTCTATCGGTTCACCCTCAATTCAAATTGTACCAAATTTAGTACATAGTTTTACCAATTTCCAAAACTTCCTAAATATCCCAATCCTACACCCCCACAGTGATCCTAAATCCAAGTTTCAGGATTCCAACTCTATCGGTTCACCTACAGTTCAAATTGTACGATATTAAGTACACAGTAGTACGAATTTCGAAAACTTCTTACTTACCCCAAACATAGATGCTAAATCCAAGTTTCAGGATTACAACTCTTTCGGTTCACTCACAATTCAAATTGTACCAAATTTAGTACACAGTAGTACGAATTTCCAAAACGTCCCACTGAACACAAACTTTCACCCCCAGAGTGATCCTAAATCCAAGATTTAGGATTCCAACTCTATCGGTTCACCCACAATTCAAATTGTATCAAATTTAGTACACATTAGTAAAAATTTTTAAAACTTCCTACATATCTCGATCTTACACCCCAACAGTGATCCTGACTTCAAATTTCATGATTCTAGCTCTATTGCATAAAATTCAAATTGTACCAAATTTAGTACCATTTAGTACCCATGAATAAAAAATACTGAAACTGGGTATAAAAATTCCAAAACTACGTACAATCCCAATCCTACACTCCGACGGTAATGTTAATTTCAAATTTCAGGATTCCAGCTCGATTTTTATCTCCAAATTAAATTTGTATCAAATATAGTATCATATAGTATTTTCGTACACATGAGTACACGCTTCCAAAACCATATCCTTTAATGGACTCTACATCTCATCCCTAATTCGCATTCCAAATTTCAAGTTTTTAGCTCTATCAATTCACATGGTACGAAATTGTACAAAATTAAGTACATTTTAGTACTTTTCGGATATTTATAGTTCGAATTTCCAAAAACCAGTTGATACATATATCCTACACTCAGCGACCACCAATCCAAATTTCAGAGTTCTAGCTCTACCGGTTCGTCAAATACAAATGGTATCACATTTAGTACTTTTCGTACCGTTCTAGTACGAATTTCCAAAAACGCTTTTGTACATCTTCCTAACTTTACATCAGTGACCCACATTCCAAATTTCAGAATTCTAGCTCTTCCCGTTCGCCTAATACAAAGGGTACCATATTTGGTACATTTTAGTACTTTTCGTACTCTTCTAGTTCGAATTTCCAAAAACCCAGCCTTATCTCACGCCTACACACCAACACCAACCCACACTCAAAATTTCAAGCTTCTAGCTTTAGCCGTTTCGTCTGGGCGATGATCTGTCAGTCACTCACTCACTTAACACTAAGCTCTTTTATATATATAGATATACTAGT